TGCAATGTGTCATTGAAGCATCTTGAATATCGGTGAAGGAATAAAGATCAAATTTTTTTTTCTGCAATAAGATTTATTCTGAAAAACTGAAGTTGACCAATAGCTTACACAAATATAATGCATTAATTATCCTTACTAAAGTTATAGTTACCAAAGGACACTCATTTAATTTTATTTTATTCTTTTTATTGTTCAATGGTATTCTCTCCTTTTACTTTACTTTCACATCTCCATGCAGAAGCAGCAAACATTGTTTGACAAAATGGCACTTATTTTCTTAGATATGATACAATTTTAATTTGGTCTGATTTTTAAAAACTGGGGAAGGTGTGTTGCAGCACCTGTTAGAGTCCTGGCTGCTCCTCTTTTGCTCAGCTGCCTGCCAACAACCAGGGAGAGGCAAGTGGTTCCTGCCCTGATGTGGGAGGTCTGGAAGAAGCTCTTGGCTCCTGAATTTGGAGCGGACCTGCTCTGGTTTTTGTGCCGACTACAAGGTGAATCAGAGATTGAAAGAGTTCTGTTTCTCTCTCTTTTGCTCTCTCTGTAACTGTGCCCTTCAAATCAACAGATAAAACTTTAAAGGGATAGGGAGTAAGTTCATGTAACAAAGACCTGTTAGCAAGCATTTCAAAGTGTTTAATACGTGAGAAATGAGTTTCCGTGCAAATCTGGGAAGAGGCTGTGTTCCTAGATTGTTGCCTTGTTCCTAATTTCATAGGAATAATTGTTTCATTTTTATGAAATCAAATACATGTTGGATTGATAAATGTAAAATACTACAAGTCAAAAATCTCGCATCATCCTAAAACTTAAATAAATCCAAGGGAAATAGCATCTGTACAAACTCTGTTAAACTCTAGCCTGTCTCCAAGCTCAGTGCCTTACCCTGTGTAATACTGCCCACTTCAGGGTTTGGTTCAATGGGTTAATCCTCTTCCTGAAAGCACCAACATCGCATGTGTACAATAGTTCACTTTCTGATTGTTCCACTTTCAATCCAGCTCTCTGAGTGTGGCCTGGGAGAGCAGTGGAGGATGACGCAAAGCTTGGGACCCTGCACCTGTAAGGAAGACCCAGCATAAGCGCCAGACTCCAGATCAGCTCTCATGATGATCTTTCTGTCTGTGTCTTCTTCTCTCCATAAATTCTCCTTTGCAAAAGCAAACTAAATAAATCTTTAGGAAAAAAAAAAGACCCATTTGGAAGGGTCTTGTGAATGCTTCTGGAATGTTCCTTTTATATGCATGTCAAACATACCTATGTGAATTTCATATCCTGTATTTGAGGACAGAAATAAGAGAACCAAAGATAACAATGCTATGACCTATACTTTTTAGACTTACATGTCTTTTTAGGATTATATAAAAAGTGCAGAAGAACTTTGGATTTCTTGGAGATAATTCCTTAGGGTTCTATAGGCGGGACCCCTTGGTGGCCACAGAGGATTGTTCTTAGGGCACAAAACAAACACCATCACCCATGCATGCTCCAGTCCCTTACACAAAATGGCATAGTGTCTACATAGAATCCATGTACATCCCTTCATACATACATCAAATCATATCTAGATACTCATTGCACTTAACTCGATGCAAATACAATGTAAACAATTGCTGTATTATATTGATTAGGGGAAATGCCATGAAAGTAAACTGCCCAGTTGTGTTCACTATAGATACACATTTGCCTAAATATGTGGGGCCTTCAAAATATTTATGGAAAGATGAAATTCTAAGTTCAGTTGGGACTGGAATTGCGGTACAGCTCATTTAACTGCCACTTCCAATCTGGACATTCCACATCAAAATACCACTGTGAGTCCCAGCTGTTTCTCTTCTGATCCAGTTTTCTGTGATCGTGCCTTTGAAGTCAATGAGTGATGCCACAAGTACTTAGCTTCCCCCTGCCCACCTTGTACTCTGCTATGAATGTGAGAGGCCCAGATGAAGTTCCTGGCTCCAGACTTCAACCTGCCCAGTCCTGGCTGTTGTGTTCTTTCAGATAGTGATCCAACATGTAGAGAATCTCCTATTCTTTTTGTTCATCTTTGCCTTTTTGTTATTCTGATTTCTATATAACAATTATATAAACAAGAGCCAAGAGCCCATATGGACACCCGTTCACATCTCAGTTACTCCATTTCCCCTCCAGCTCCTGTTTAAGGCCTGGGAAAGCAGTACAAGATGTTCCATTTCCTTGGCACCCTGCACCCATATGGAAGACTCAATGAAAACCTCCTGGCCATTGCAGACATTTGGAGAGTGAGCCAGCAGATGAAAAATCTTTCTGACTCTCCTTCTCTCTGTAAATCTGGTTTTCTGCTATAAATAAATAAATAAACATTTTCTGCAAATTACTTATTTTAAAATATTTCAACAAATAAACTTATATATTTACAAAGTACTATACCAGTTTTCAAACCATGTATACATTGTGTAGTGTCTATTTAGAATTAATATATCCATCTACACATGCTAACATTTTTTAGATGGGGAAAGCATCCAAACTCTTCTGTTACTATTTTTATTTTATATTTTTAAACATTTGTTTATTTAACTGTAAATTCAAAGAGAGAAGGGCATTTTTCATCTGCAGTTTCAGTCCCCAAATCCCCACAAGGCTACAATGACCAGAACTGTGGTAGTCATAAGCTGCAAGCCAGGAGTTTCCACGTGGATGCTGGTGCCAGGGCTTTGAGCTACAGTCTGCTGCTTTCCCAAGTCTGTAAGCAGAGAGCTGGATTGTAGGAGGACATTGTGACCCTGGAAGGTCAGCAAGCACAGGATTGCAGTTCCTTGGACAGTATTTGCATGAGAACAACCTTAGTATAAACGGCATGTAAATGAGAACACCTGGTGGAATATACAAAACAAAAGCAATTCCAATCAAGAGTAGGAAAACAGTAGATGGGTTTTGTTGATGAGCTCAATACTTCCTCATCCTACCCCATACGCACTTTCAGTGTATAAAGTCTGATGCCCCTAACAAACTTCGGCTTTGACCATCAGTCAGGGTCCACATGTGTTATTATCCGCTCCATGGCTCCATCGCTGCGGGACAGTGACACTGGATCAGATGTGGAGCAGCAAAGACTTGTAGTCGCAGCGATAAGAAATGGCAGTGTTACATGGGGAGGATTAGCCTCCAATATCATTCGATTTCTGATGCTTTCAAACAGGGAGATGAACAGTACACCGACATGGGCTATGGTTGTCAGAGGTCGGGAAGAGAAAGGGGTAACAAAGAATGGTAAACATGGATTACTGGATATTTAGTGGAAGCTAGGTGGCACTTAGTTTGTATACATAATTTTCATGTTAAAAGTTGTAACTTCTTCTACATAATACAATTAACTTCAGCACTCAGATCCTGGTGCATAACACAATTAATATCGATACTTTCCATAAACTGCCCAGTGGTTTTTGATAGCTTCTTTCAGTCACAATTTATTGTTTGAAAGACTTTTCAGAAGGCAACATTTGTTTAGCACTTCTGCTATGTATTTTTACTACTAATTTTCAGCTTCTATAAATTGGCAGAGAGAATGCGAACTAGTGCGGCATATTGAGGTTTGCTTTGTAAAATAGATGGCCCGTAAGAATTGTTCCTTGGGCATCTGTGCTGTTTCATTGTAGACTAAGACACATCTATTAGCTCTCGCTGATTAGTCCGGTAATGAAGGTGCATTTTGGTTCAATTCATATTTTTCCACTTTAGTTTTGATAACAAGAAGCCATTAAGTCTACACTTCCAAGTCTCTCTCCCTCCACCCTTGTCCCCTTGCTTTGTTTCATGAACATGTATTTCTCCTGTGTGGGGCTTTATGGAAGACCTCCCTGTGGAGGGGACATCCTGTCATCAATTATTCTTAATTTCATTTTCTGTTCCACGTTCTTGCATTCAGTGAGGACTGATGCGAATAGTTGAGTCGGGATTTTTTTTCATCCCTTTTGCTGTATATGGTTATATATCACTTCTAAAATGTTTTGTCTTTTATTTATGTCTCCTCTTTTCAAATACATGGACAGATCTTGTATTTCATGAAATTCGAAGTTTCTTGTTTAAGAAACAACCTCACCTTAGTATCATTTAATGCTCTGACAGTTATAATTGATACATTCAACTTTTTTTGACCTGTACTCTTAATACACTCTAGATTCCGGATTGTGTTTTATTTTTTTTTTTTTGTTTTCTTTTGTTTTTGCTTTCTTCGTATTCTTTCAGAAATCTTGAATTGTTTATACTTTGGTTTTGATTTTCATTACTATTGGGTCTGTTAGGGGCTAGCAAGATGGCTGAACCGGCTGATTCTCCCTTTGCAAGTGCAAATACCAAATATACGCTCTGGCTCATGTTCAGGCCTCTACACTTCCCATCCAGCTCCCTGAGTTTTCCTTGAGAAAGTAATGGAGGAAGGCCTACATTCTTGGGACTCTTCACCAAGGTAGGAGATACAGAAAAGGCTTCTTGCTCCTGTCTTCAGATGCCATCTGGGGAGTGAACCAGCAGATGGAAGATGTCTCTCTGTCTGTTCTTCCCTCTGTAAATCTGCCTTTGCACTGCAAATAAACAGGTTTTTTTTTTTAAAGTGTATTGCATCAGCTGTTCTGCCAACTGTAACATAATTAAACCAAGATTCCTTCACTGAAGAAGCTCTGCCACTGTGTATTTATCTCTCACTGTGAAAGCCTAGTTCATGCAGATATTTTTCCTTTTGCTGACATTTGGGATGTTGACCTATGATCTTTGTCCTTCTCTGTCTTCTAGCCGAATGCCATCCCAGCCCCCTAAAGTTCAATCTTTGTCTCTAATACATCATGGACTGTGGTCTCTACATCCCTGACTATTGCAGCACCTGTTATGGTCTTCAGGCCTCATATTTCATCTGTTATGATCTTCACACTTTAAATAATACAATTAGCGGCCGGGGCCTCGGGCTCAGTGGGGAAGCATGGCTGGCTTGCAAGGGGTGGCGCGGCGCTGGGTTTGGAGATGTTTTCGTTGGCTGGGGGCTAGGGTGCTGGTTCCGATGAGGTTGAATCAGAACACCTTGCTGCTGGGGAGAAAGGTGGTCCTGGTGCCCTACACCGCGGAGCATGTGCCCAGGTACCATGAATGGATGCAGTCTGAGAAACTACAGCGTCTGACCTCCTCGGAGCCGCTGACCCTGGAACAGGAGTACGCCATGCAACACAGCTGGAGGGAGGATGCAGACAAGCGCACCTTCATCGTGCTGGACGCTGAAAAGTGGCAGGCCCAGTCCGCTGCTGCCAAAGAGAGCTGCATCGTGAACCTCTTCTTCACGGACCCGGGAGACCCCACCCTGAGGGAGGTGCAGGTCATTATTGCAGAGTCCAGCTGCAGGGGCAAGGGCCTGGGCGCTGAGGCTGCACTCATGATGTTGTCGTACGGAGTGACCAAGCTGGGTCTGACCATGTTTGAAGCTAAAATTGGACAAGGAAATGAACCGAGTCTCCGGATGTTCCGGAAACTTCACTTCGAGCAGGTGGCTTTGAGCAGCGTCTTCCAGGAGGTGACACTGAGGCTGACCATGAGCGAGTCTCAACAGCGCTGGCTGCTGGAGCAGACAAGCCACGTGGAAGAGAAATCCTACCGGGGCAAGTTGACAGAGTCCTGCTGACCTGGCTGTGTGAAGGTGGCCACCTCTGCCACAGCTTAGAGCCCTGTGTGGGAACCATGGGGGGTCTTCAGGGCCAGAATGCTCCTGTGCCCACGTCCTACTAGGATCACCTACCTGGACTCGGCGGATTGTCTCTGGCACCCCTGCACCAGCCAGCAATGTGGCTGAACACACCAGGGTCGTGCCCTCCTTCCTCCTGGCCAAACTAACTCAGACTCCAGGAACCCCGCGTGGCCGCCAGGAATCCTAAGCAGTCGGGGAGGAGGGGAAGGGCAGGGGTGAAGGCATCGTGGGGAATGGACAGATCTGTCTCCTTCACTGGCCACAGTAAAGCTCATGGCGTGGAAAAAAACTACAATTAACTTTTTTTTTTTTTGCTCCAACACCCCCAAGAGACTGGATGAGACAACTTAGCTGTCCTCTACTTTCTTCCCAACACTTAGTCAGCCTGTGGAATCACAAAATTCATATGTCATTTCCCCAGATTGCTACACCTATTTTTGCATAATGTTGCTTACATTTATGGCTGCCTGGGAGTGTTTCTATGTGTGCATGCCTTACAGATTATTACATCAGCATGAAAGTTGTAAATATACTTAAGTGTGCATCATCATTTTCTTGTCTCCAATGATATCAGCAAGGCCCATATCAAAGTCAGGTGTCACCCTTGGTGTTGTACTTTCTGTAGGTTTACTAAGGTGTCACCACCGTGGTGCTACAGAGTGGTTTCACAGCCCAAAATATGCTCTGTGGTTTATCCAGATATTCCTCTCTACTCATGGGTCTCTGTACTGTATCCACAGCTTTTCCTCTCCCAGAATGTTATGTTGTTGGAAACATGTAACTTTTAATAGCTACGTCAAAAGCTGCTCTAAAACATCCACACACAGGTTGTGAAATTCATCAGAGTTACCAGCACTTTGGGGTGAGCACTGAGATGACTGGTGGGTCACACAATGACTATGGGTGTCTGGTTTTGTAGGAAACTCCTGAATTACCTTTCAAAGTGGCTGCATCATCTTGCTTTCCCAACAGCGATGGATAGACATTTTTGCTGGGCCATGGTCTGTCAGCACTCGGTGATGTCGGGGTCCATAGCTTAGCCAAGTCGAGAGGTGTGTGTGATTGTGCCTCATTGTTAACTCATGCTTCTCTGGTAGTCTGCATAGGCCTCACCTTTCCTGGAATTCTTGAAAGTCACAAATGAGAAATGCAAGACATCCTAACATTTGCATCTTTATGACTCACCCAAGCAGTGAACAGAGGTAAAGGAGTACAGACACACCTGGGATATGTTCATGGGCTACTATCTATGATTTCAGAGTCTGCACTTGGGAAGGTTGAGTGGGTATGTGAGAGTCTGAGAGGTGAGGATAGTTGAAGCATGAGAGATAAATAATACATCCAAGGAAGTGACGCCCTCCCCATTGTGGTTTTTTTTTTTTTTTAAGATTTATTTATTTATTGGAAAGTCAGATATACAGAGAGGAGGAGAGGCAGAGAGGAAGATCTTCCGTCCGATTATTCACTCCCCAAGTGAGCGCAACGGCCGATGTTATGTTGGTCCAAAGCCAGGATCCAGGAACTTCTTCTGGGTCTCCCACGCGGGTGCAGGGTCCCAAAGCTTTGGGCTGTCCTTGACTGCTTTCCCAGGCCACAAGTGGGGAGCTGGATGGGAAGTGGAGCTGCTGGGAGTAGAACTGGTGCCCATATGAGATCCCAGAATGTTCAAGGCGAGGACTTTAGCCGCTAGGCCACACCGCCGGGCCCCCCAGTGTGGTTTTTATGGGGGCTTAAGTGGAGAGTGGTTATGCAACAATCCAGCACTGCATCCCCTGGGGTCCCAGGTAATGAATTTACATTCTTTCTTTTTAAATTTTTTTTAAAGATTTATTTTTATTATTTTTTCATTGGAAAGGCAGATATACAGAGAGGAGAGACAGAGAGGAAGATCTTCCGTCCGATGATTCACTCCCCAAGTGAGCGCAATGGCTGATACTATGCCGATCCGAAGCCAGGAGCCTCTTCCGGGTCTCCCACGCGGGTGCAGGTTCCCAAAGCTTTGGGCCGTCCTCGACTGCTTTCCCAGGCCACAGGCAGGGAGCTGGAAGGGAAGTGGGGCTTCCGGGATTAGAACCAGCGCCCATATGGGATCCCTGGTGTGCAAGGCGAGGACCTTAACCACTTGCGCCACCGTACCGGGCCCTGAATTTACATTCTTTAATGCAAAGCTGTACAAAAAGTATTGAACAGGTGGCAGTGGAGGTATGAACTCCTGACCCTGAACTAGCTGGCGAAGAACATATCAGCACAAATATCTGTCATCAAGGAAGCTAACCCTTAGAGAGAATACTTTATTCCAAAGCTCAAGGTGTCATCCAGAAGGGCAGAGTTTGGAGGGAGGGCACGTCTTCATGCGTTATGTAGGTTGAAAGAATAATCATCACCAAGTCTGAATAAAATGAGACCAACAATGGAAACTACTCGGCTAGTTTTTCAAGTCAGATATACAGTCTGCCCTATAGATGTATTTCATCTTTAGGATATCATGTAGTGGAGTAACATGGCCATTTTTCTACTTGCAGGTGATTTGTAAGTAGTTAGATTCCCTCATTGTGTTGGGTATAAAAGACTTGAGAAAGTCAAACGATGAGTGTTATGTTTTTAATAATCATACAGCGACACCTGTAGCATTGATTGAGCAGCCCTATTCTGGTATTCTGAGAAATCAGTAGAAATGCCAGTCACGGGTTTCTTCTGCATGACTTGGGGGAAGAGACCAAGACAAATGAGGTTGTCATGAGTTGGCGAAGGCTATGCCTTTTCCTCTTTCTTTCCCTTTTCTCTGTCTTCACTGTGAACATTTCCTAAGGGAAGGTCCTCAGTTTATTAGAATAGCCTGACATGCCTAGGGGAGAGTTGTCCCCAATGGTTAGATGCCCTACGAATGAGGAACGGTAGTGTAATTTTCTTCAGGATAACGTGATAAACAAAATAATATTCATTGTTTCTATTATAAAGGATTTACTGTTCTTAGAGATAGTACAGGTGCACAGAGCCAGCTGTGCTGGGGAGACTGGGGAGGCCCACCAAGGGGAGCCACTTAAAGAAGATATAGGGCTTTCCATGAGGGTGTGATCAGCCCCCAGAAAGTAAGGAAAGAGAGCAGCTCTCCATCCAGGGGGCTGCCTGGCTTTGAATCTTGAGATCATTTTCACCACAGTTTTCAACATCTTGGTTTGAACATTAAATTGTTCAGTGCCACGTGTGATAATGAAGGTGTTTAGGAAAGAAAATGTGAAACAACAAATGAATCAAATGTGAAATACAAAAGGCGAAGCGCTCCATCAAGCTCTCATGGCAAGCATTGACATTCTTAGAATCTCCTTAAATGACAACATAAAAAAAAAAATTAATTGAAGTCAAGAACCCATGCGAAATAGACTAGCGGCTAAAGTTCTCACCTTGAAAGCTGGGATCCCATATGGGTGCCATTTCTAATCTGGCAGCCCCGCTTCCCATCCAGCTTCCTTTCTGTGGCCTATGGAAGCAGTCCAGGACTACCCAAGACCTTGGGACCTTGCACCTGGGTAGGAGACCCAGAAGCTCCTAGCTCCTGGCTTTGGATCTATGCAGCTCTGGCCGCTGCGGCTGCTTGGGAGTGAATCAACCGATGGAAGATCTTACTCTCTGTCTCTCCCTCTGTATTTATAGTTGCATTTCCAATAAGAAAAATCTAATAAATAAAAAAATCGCTAAGAAAATGAATTCAAGGCCTGAACTATGGGGACTGGGATTGTATTATATGGTAAATGCTATTTAAACTGAATGAAATAATAAAACCTTCATTCTTATAATAAGGATAAGATAAGGAGATGTTAATTCTTCAAAGATATAATAGGTTTATTATTCTAATGAACTGCTCCAGATAGCTTTGGACTATATAGGAAAATGTATTAATCTTTTGACACAGTTTTAGATTTTCTCCTCTTAGTCTAGCTGTGTGACAGGAGAGAGATGGCTGAAAGAGTATGCTGAAATTTTCCTCACAGCTTAGAGTATTGAATATTTTTCTATCATCTGGTTTTATTGAATCAAGCATGAGAATAAAATGCCGCCAAGCAGAAAGAATAAAAAGATTGTCAGAAGATGGATGAGCATGCATGTACAAACTCAATATCAATTATGAGGGCTTTGATCGGCTGCTCAGGAAAACAGCCTTTTCGGTTCAACAATTGTTAACATACAGAGCTGCTCCAACTGTCAACTTTGTGCCAGGAATAATATATGTCAACAGGTGGTTCCTGACTTTGAAGTTCTCAGTATGGAAGTGCCTACCATGCACTACGGCTCAGGGAACAAGACAGGGAGAACCAGAGCAGGGCAGAGGATATGGTGGTGGGGACAAAATGAACAGATGGGAGAGGTTTGAAGACAAGATGCTGCAAATGGAGAGATAAGGATTAATAAGGATTAATAAGTATGCTTGCACCCTATGTTTCTTCATTTTAAAGATTATTTCTTTGTAATCCAGAGTTATAGAAAAAGGGGGATGTATGTGTGTAGATACAGATAGATACGTATATACTCACATATATACATACATATAGAGACATCCTGGCCTTGTGATGCTCTCCTGAAATGGCTACAATTGCCAGTCTTGGACCAAGCTGCAGCCACGAGTCCCAGACGCAATTTCTCTTCCGGTGCTGCCTCCTTGAGGACATTCGGGTTATTAATCTCTGTGCTCCAGCACCCTCATTTACAAAGCAGTCCTTCCAACATCACAAGATTATCAAATTCTTACAGAGAAAGATCTACCATCTGCCAATTCACTCTTGAAGCAAGTGCAATGGTTGGACCTGAGCTGATCTGAAGTGAGGAACTTGTTCCAAGTCTCCCATGCAGGTGCAGGATCCTAAAGCTTTGGTCATCCTCTCCTGCTTTCACAGGACACAAGCAGGGAACTGGATGGAAAGCGCAGCAGCTGGGACACGAAC